AATGTAAATTATAGAAATTATATAACTTTAAATTTTGTATTATCTAATATATATTTATAAGAAAGGAATTTATAATTTATTGCTATAGCAATATATTACCAGTTTATGCAGAGTTTGAAATTTTGCCTACAAATCATGATTTGTAATTACAAATTGAAACCTCACATATAAAACTATTAGACTAGTGATATATTGCTATAGCAATAAATTATAAAACCTTATAAGAAAGCCAAATTTCAAATATTATACAATTTCTGAATATATTTGGCAATTAAATTACTATATTTTTGAATTTTTCAATTTTTAAAAGGTTTATATAATTTAGCATATTTGTGCTCATAAGATCTAGTATAATATAAAATAAAATAATAAATTAATTCATTAATTTAGAATTAGAGTATGGGTTAGGTTTGAGTAGAGTACTTTGGAAAAATAGTTTTACTTCAAAATTTTGTAAGAATTTTTTTTTGTTAGAATACAAAAGATAGTTTCATAAGCAAAATTTTAAGCTACAAGCAATTTTTTAAAAAATTGCTATTTTTTTTGATTTCACATTACACCTGATCTTACAATTTGATTGGTTGATTAGATGGGTGCTTTATAATACAAATGTGCTAAATTATAATAGTCTTTTTAAATTTTAAATTCAATTTTCAAATTTTTAAATTTTTTAAATTTTTGAATTTTTTAAAATTTAAAAATTTAAATTTAAACTTTTAAAAATATAAATTTTTTAATTTTTGAAATTTTAAAATGAAAAATTTGAAAATTTTGAAAATTAAAAATTTGAAAATTTGAAAACTTGAAATTGAAAGATTTAAAAATTTGAAAGTTTGAAAATTTAAGAATTGAAAAATTCAAAAATTTGAAAATTGAAAATTTTGAAAATTTGAAAAATTAAAAAATTTAAAAGTTTTAAATATAGCAATTTAATAGCCAAATATATATAACAGTCATATGAAATTTGAAATTTGGCTTTCCCACAAACATATGTTGGGTAACACAAAATTTAATCATATAACCTATATATTTTACACTTAATATTTGATAATTTTATTACTATATTTAGAAGTTTTAAATTTTTTAATTTTCAAATTTTCAAAATTTTCAAATTTCAAATTTTCAAATTTTTAATTTTCAAAGTTTTAAATTTTCAAATTTTTCATTTTCAAATTTTTAAATTTTTTAATTTTTGAATTTTTCAATTTCAATTTTCAATTTTTAAAAAATTTGTACTTTTGGCCCAAATAAAACACTATATTATAACATGTACATAGAAATGATCTTGCATTGTAAAATATTTTTTTATATGTTGCACACCAAATAAAGGATTAGTTGTATAATATAAATGTTTTCTCCTGTTGACAGCAAAATATATATAATAGTAATCATAATTATGAGTTAAATATGATGCAATATCATGAAATTTAAGTGTGGAATTTCATGTTTGATTGTGTTTGATACATTGTCTAATCAAATGAGATTTTGCAAATGTGATATAAAAAGCCTGTCAATAAAGTGACAGAGTGATCATTATTCTGAGATCCGAGAACTTTATTGATCACATGTTCTAGTTGACAATTATGGAATTCATGTATAGTCTTATAGTATCATATTAGATGCTGGTTAATATTATGATTGCATATAATTATTGGAAATGGATTACTATATCTATTAGAGAACAGGCAATGGAAACAAGGGCAATCATATGGCTCTGAGTATGTAATCAGTAATGTATTTAAAAGCTTTAGTCAATGAGAAGGTAATCTTTCCTTTTGCTATTACTCACCTTGTAGTAAAGGCTGGCTCTATTGTCCCTCCCCTCCTGCCATTGTAAAAATGGGAAATAATGGGTGGGGACTAACTAAAAGTATAATCAACGAACACTAGAATCTATAAACTAATAGAACAAGGGCAAGACCAAAACTCCAAAATGGAAAGTGTCGATAGAGGCATGGTGAGACTTGGTGTTACAGAGTTTACCATACTACCGTGTACTTTTTTGACTTTACTCGTTTGCTAATATATGATGACTGGAGTATCATACCAGATACTACCACCAACAATAATATACTCACTATGATAACAGTTTATCGCTAAGAATAGCTCAAAGAGATAACGGGAACAAAAGTTCTGGTATCTCTACTTTTAGGATCGATACACTAAATATTAATTACTAATACATATTTGCGTTACTGATTATTACAGGCTTTTTCATCGCTCATGCATCAATATTTTAGACTTTTAATTAAATTATGATCAACTGATATGGATTACGCATTAATTAGATCACGACTTTCGATAATGTATGTACGTACCCATTCATGGTCACATGGGTATCGCGCATCACCGTGACACTTGGTTTGAGTTACTAGAGCTTGGGCCTTGTGAAATACTGCCTAGGTCCAAATAACTCTTTTATTACTTCTTTGGGTCGATTATTATATTGGTTTGAAATAATTCTAACACTAACAGTTCTATTTTCTCTTATTTCGGGGTCACGTGTCACGAGATCTCAACAATTCAATGATCAATGAAAAAGTATAACAATGTACGTAATACTGTAATAATGAAAATTCGATCAGAAATTAATTTACTTTGTTATAAAAGGGATGTGATTACTAATTGATACTATTTCTCCTTACTTTTATGTTACGAAAATAACGACTTTTCAGGGTATCACGGGACAAGGAAATATCGAAAACGATTTTATTACGAATGCTTTATTGTGAATAATTTTGAGATCAAGAGAAATAACCACTTAGAGAACTAACTTCTACTATTATTCTTTTCGAAGTCAAGAACTTCACTGAGTCCTACTTAATCCGAACACTACTTCCTACTTAGTTCCCTTTTATTAAAGCGAAAATGTGGGTCTTAAATACTTTTAGACCATTAACCACATAATTGTTTACTAATTTCCAGCCGGACTTAACTTTTTGACTTTTTCATTACAAAAATAGAAATTTTTATAAAATAAGCCACATTATGGTAAAATTGACCCAGGAACAATTTTCAATTAATGGGCAGCTACGATTTTCGTTAGTAAAATTATGATTAATTCCGGCCTAATATTTGATCGTCGCTCTTAGCCAATCAAAATTGAGAATCCGCCGTACCATTTTGTTGCGGCAGCTAGGGTTAATTTTCAAACCATTACTGCGTACATAATGGCTATGTTCGTTATTTAAACTACTTCTACTACATTCTCTATATTCTATTCTTACAAATTTGGAAGAAGATGATCGATATGTTACAAAATTGTACCTGCTTAGACGAATGGTACAAATTTGAACTAGATTAGCTTGGATACGAATTTGAATCAAGGTACAAATTTGTACCAGTTTAGTTGGATACAAATTTGTATAAAATAAATGCGCCGCATTCGCTAATAAATATGCATCTAATCTTCTATTTACAGAAAAATTTATCTCAAGCCACTTTTACACCGTCTCTCAGTAACGCATAAACTAAGGACACTTGTGTAGGAAGCTATTAGTGGGTGCTGTTAGGATCTGCGGCTACCATTGGTAGCGCAAGGATCCCACATACGGCAATTAGACTTCAGCTGCCGTAGGCAATTCAAGAACTTCAGTTGCCCCGCGGCTGCCATAGGCAGTGCATGGGCCTCATGCTTGGTGGTTAGGCTCCGCGGTTGTTGTAGGCTATGCAAGACCTATGTCAGTTTTCACTTACGTCACTAGATAATGCTATAACTGATTCTCTTTATAGCGAAGCTTGTAAAGCCTGAAAATGATAGCGAATAGAATCCCTATATGTTTATTCTTCGTGTAAATAAAGTCAACTGATTGAGCAATAAAAACATATCATTCCGTTCCTGGTAAGGCGGTACAAACTGGATTTTCTGTTTTACATTACCCCCTCTCCCCTCCGGAAGAGGGGAAGAATTTGTGGTTTACATAGTAAGATTTTAAAAAATTTCTTTTTCAAAAAAAAATTTCCGAGTTGTTCCTTGACTGTATAAAATTTTCCGAAATATCCCGTAACCCTATGTATATTTGTCTAAATTTTTTTACTATGAGGGAGAGGGGGAGGCGCTGAGGAGGGGGGTGGGGTAATGTAAAACAGAGAATCTAGTTGGTCACGCCTAAGCATCGCCAAATAATTACGTTACCCGGTGATCACAAGATTGATCAATCGAATGTTGTCTGTTTTCAAATAACAACTGAAAATGCAACAAAACTACACATTTAGATACTTACATATCAAATACTACGATTCGACTATACGCTACGTACTCTTGTAACCCTATACTTTATAAATAAGGTAATAATCCACTCGTGTCATAAACAACTTCGGTTATTAGGTAAATAAAATGTGTAACGTAAATATGAAACTTATTTACAAACAAGAAGCTGATCACAATAAATTTTGTATAATAAGTAGCTTTGTTAAAATTTTAAAATAAGTATTTAAGGTAAAAGTTATTCGGTAAACAAGTTTCGTAATTATTACACTGATAAACAAGATTTTATGCTCGCGCGTATATACATATGTTATTGCGCAGAATTTTTAAGATAGCTTGGCTCTCAAACTGATAAATTGATAGCAACAAACAGAAAACCAGTTGTAGTTCACATCTTATACAAGTTTTCGGAAATAGCACCCGTCATGCGAAAATTGTGATTATGATTTAATAATTATTTTTTTGCACCTCTCAATAACATGTGTAAATCTAATTCCAAAAATGGTGCTGAAATGTATAAAAGTTTATAATTTCCGTTGCATAAAATAAATAAGGTGGTACCAATCGGAATAATGTCTCTCAGTTTGGCAAATTTATAATGACATTATGTTTTCTACAATAGTCTTAAATAGCTGTAAGAAAATAGTTTAATTTTGTAACTAACTATTGTCGGTAAAAAAATTTTCTTTTTTTGCCTGATGAAATATCTTTAACATGCATATAATATTGATTATTATATGTGTATAATAATTTCTCATCATAAACTTAAACTTTCCTTTTTCACAAAACAGATATGAATAAGATTTTTACATTTTTTGAACATTACCTTTCATGTCTACCTACAATTTTTTCAAATGGCTCAATTAAAAATTCCGAGGTTCAAACAGTTGTTGTAGAGCCAAATTATAGGCCAATGAATATACGATTAGAGTTGATTCAAACAAATAACGGTTTCGAAATAAAGCGTAATGATTTGACCGATTCTGTCGATTCACGTTCAAAAAAAGAAAAGCCAATAAATATAATGTTGGAAGTGGATCCCACGAATAACTCTATCGAAATAAGGCCTAATGATTCAATTAACAATGATTCAATCAATAACTCGACAAGTTCAAATTCATCTAAAAATTCAATAAATATACAATTGGAATTGGTTCCCGTAAATAATGTGATTAACTCGAATGATTCTCGACCAGCTAATAATGAATTTGTAGATATAACGCTTCCTAAAAGTAATGCAACCAAATCAAAACCTATTATAAATCCAAATTATATCTTGACAGATCTACAATTAACTGACGATGTACTATTTAGTATTCAATTGGAAGAAACTCTTAAAAATATTTCTACAGATTCGTCTTATAATCAAGTCGATCCAAAATCAATTGAGAATGATTCTACAAATATACAATTGAAAGCTGTTTCCTTAAATAATACTATTGAAACGGATTCTGCTGATTTAAATATGGATACCTTAGATTTACAAGTGACCACAAACCCTGAAGATGTTCCTGTTAAAAAAGAATTAACTGTTTCTGATGTTTTAAGTAAAAGAAAAAGTGACCGTCCCATAAATTTACTATCACTTCAAGATAATCTACCGGAAGAGATGCATTTGAATAATGCAATGTATATAGAACGTGACTCACTTTATAATTTGGGTTTCCAATTTACCACAAATCCTGAAGATGTCTCTATAAGTAATACTACTGAAATAGAATCTGTTGATTTCAATCTGGACACCTTATGCTTACAAGTTACCACAAACCCTGAAGATATTCCTGTTGAAAAAGAATTAACTATTTCTGATGTTTTAAATAAGAGAAAAAGTTATTCACCCGTAACGTCACAGTTAACTCAAGATATTATACCAGAAGAAATGCATTTGAATAATGCAATGGATATAAAACGTGATTCAATTAACAATTTGGATTTACAAATGACCTCAAATCCTGAAGATGTTTCTGTAAATAATACTATTGAAAAAAAATCTGTTGAGGACTCCTTAGATTTACAATTAACTACAAACCCTGAGGATGTTCCCATTGAAAAAGAACTAACCGTTTCTGATGTTTTAAATAAGAGAAAAAGCTATCATCCTATAAGATCACAGTCAATTATACCGGAAGAAATGCATTTAAATAATGCAATGGATATAGAACATGATTCAAACGACAATTTGGATTTACAATCGACTACAAATCCTGAAGATGTTCCTGTTGAACAAAAATTAATTGTTTCTGATAATTTAAATGAGAGAAAAGATGTTCTACTGGAAGAGTTACATTTGAAAAATGCAATGGAGATAAAATATGATTCAGGTGGTTTCACAATTTACGATAATTCTGAAATAGTTTATGCTTCAACAGTTGACTGGAATCAAAATAATCTTCCAAATGATTGGGCTGATAATTGGAATCAAAGTTATGTTTCGACTGATGACTGGACCGATGATTCGAATCGTCAAGATCATTCGGCTGATGTTTGGGATGTAGATTACTTTACTGATGACCTTAAAGTAATTCATGTAGATGATAATGTTTCAACTGACAATTGGACTGATGATTACTTGAGACATAAGGATCATTTAGCCGATGTTTGGGATGTAGACTATTTTACTGATGCTTTAAATGATGTGGAAGATTTGACTGATATTGTTATCTTTAATGAAGAAGATCCGACCGATTTTCTTAATTCAAAAGATGATGATGTAAAAGTGCCAATTATTATTCCAACTATTGATGTAGAATATGTTGAGGATGAATCGCCTCAAGAATGGACAAGTGGCAATGAAGAAATAGATGAATTCATTAAAGACACTCAAAGAGATCCCGAATTTAAATTAAAGTGGATCAATTATAATGAATTCTCTGAAGTAGAATCTATTGGAAAAGGTGGTTTTGCAACTGTATATAAGGCTAAATATAAAAATGAAATAGTAGTACTTAAAGTGGTTATAAATTCTAAAGATGAGCCTTCAAACGTTCTAAATGAGGTAAATGACGTTTTTTCTTACCCTCTTTTTTTATTAATTATTAATACATTAATTGTATTATATAGTTAAAAACACATCAATCATGCCGTAGTTCTGGTGCATTTTTATATTGTTATGGAATTTCTAAAGACCCAGAATCTGAAGATTATATTCTTGTAATAGAATATTTGTCAAATCAAGATTTGCGTAAAAATTTAGGCAAATTAGTACGGGAAGAGTGGAAAACAAAATGGTACATTTTATTTAATATAGCTAAAGATATAGATGGTATACATAGTAGTGGTTTGATTCATCGTGATTTACATAGTGGTAATATTTTACAAAATGAGGAAAATGAATCTTATATATCTGATTTAGGATCGACTTGATTATAAGAAGAATGTAGTATAATAGTTAGAATGAATATAGCACAATAATTGGGACAAATATAGCATAATAATTGAGACAA